GGATTTTTATAGAATTAAGGTCAGAAGCTATGATTTTGATCCCCCCCCTTTTAAGTTGAGGAAAATAACATTTTCAGAGAATCCATGTATATGTATAGCTTTATACATAACTGTAAAGTAAATATCCAGTAATTATTGTCTAGGCCAGAAATCATGTACTATGTATAAATTGATTTCTTTAGGAAAAAAAAACCCCAAAAATAAAAAACAAAAAACAACTAAGCCTAGGTCCTATATAAATGATCACTCCCTAACTACTTGGTCCAAAATAATTATGTCTTTTTCTCCACTCAAGTTAATCACAGCAGACGTGGTGACTCATACCTATAATCCCAGCACTTTGGGAGGCTGAGGCAGGAGAATTTGCCATGAATTTGAGTCAGTCAGAACCATATAATGAATTCTGGGCTACAGAGTGATACCCTGTCTCAAAAAAAAACCAAACTAGAAAAAAAGAAGAAGAAAAATTATAACTATTACCCTGATTGTGGTCATTTGCAGTTTGACCCAAGTAGAAATTCCTAAACTATTTTTTAATGTATTTATACATCTATTTATTTTTGAGGGTCTCACTATGTCACCTAGGCTGGCCTCAAACTCATTCTTCTGTTTCAGCTTCCCGAGTGCTAGGATCATAGGTGTGCTTCACTGTGCCTGTTTTTGTTTTTCTTGTTTCAAATGAACTTCTTTCCATAGATTAGAAATTGCCTAAAACCACATATAGATCAAGACAGGGTCATAGATGAATGTTGAATTTCTCTAAAAGCATAAAATTTTCAAGACTTAGAAGAAATATATACAATCACCATTAAACTCAGTACTTTGAGCTGACATTCAGACTTGTCACTAGTTTATTCCAACGTTTCCCCGTACTTATCAGTGTGTATTAGTGTTTTTCTAAATGTATCCAGGGGAGTAAGCATAAGTGTAATTTATGCTGTGCTAATGTGTTGCCCCTCCCTTCTTTTGCAGCATGGGTAGGTTCCCTGTCCATGGGGATGATCTTCTTTTGCTGCCCTATAGCCAGTGTTTTCACAGACATATTTGGCTGTCAGAAAACAGCTGTTGTGGGTGCTGCTGTGGGATTCATTGGACTCATGTCCAGTTCTTTTGTAAGGTAAGGATTTGGTTTCTTCATGTTGCTTTTGAAGAGCTGTTAAATACCTTAAAGTTTTCCTTTTAGAAACTTGGCTGTTTATATTAAAACAAAAAACCTTGAAATGTTAATATTCTATAAACCAAATTGTTACCCATAGCAGCATAACTTGAGAATTTTAAATTTTTGCTTGTAGTGGCTAAGATTTTTAGATGTCAGGATATATATGCTTGCTAGAGCCAAGAAAAAAAATGTTTCCCTTTGTTTTTATGTATTTACATGAAAATTCTAAAGGAATCAAGTTTTATCTATGAGTTATCTAAAGCTATGGTTTTAAGGTCAGTGCTGTCTGAGCTCTAAAGGGTTCACTAAATAGTTCTTTAAAGTAGTTGTTTATAAGCTTGATAGGAAAATTATTTTATTAGTGAGAAGACGACATTTAGAATTAATGCCAGCCCAGGTAGAGAATTCCTGTTTGTCCTTAAAATATTTTAGTTTAGTTTTTTTTTTTTAATACCATGAAAAATTAAGAGATCAAATGTTCTTTAAAACTTATTTCAATTAGAAAAGATGTAAGGCCCAGAAAAGATGTAAGGCCCACATTACTGAATGTGTCCACTTCTAGTAGCCCCCTTCATGGTTAGTTAATGTTCAGTTAGAGAAACACTGGTTTAATGTGGAGCTCTGGCTAGCAGGAGGTGATTAACAAGAAAACGCCGTAAACTTTTCTCAGTCTCTACTTTAGCAATTTACCTTCATTTCCTACCTCTTTCCCTTCCCTATTTAATCTTCATGTTACTTTAGTTGAAAACATGATTTAGTTGTGGGGTTGGGGAAAGAGTCTGACCTGTATTTTCTGCTCTGCTTATTTTAAATTATTTCATATTCATTCAGCCGAATTGCTGGCTTTCTTCATTTCACTCTGCCACACACCCCTTCTCAAATCTTAAGCAGCTTTCTTTTGTACTTTACCTAACTTAAAATTTTTATTCAGATTTTTTTGTACTTCCTAGTAGAAAATAGGTTTTCTAAGAGCCTTTCTGATTGCTTCTAAACTTTTAAAAACAGATATTTTTGGAATAAGACAATGTTTAGGTAATTCTGTGAGATAGTTTGACTTCAGTTGTTTTGGGTAGTGATATGTTGTGATAGTGATGTCTCAGAGTCCTTTCATCTGGAAGCCTCCAGGTACACATGGTCTGAACCATGTTTTGCCACTTGCTGAGAGTACCCATACTTGGGCTTTGGTGAGGAGAATACTGAGAGGTAGAAAACCTGTAAAACCTATTTCCAGTTTGATAGAAAAGTACACATGCAAACACCAGCTATTGCTTTTCAAATGTTTTTTGACCACTGACAACAATCTTTTTATATATTGTATCCTAGTTTATCCTTCTCCTTCCTCTATCTCCATATCTCACCATCCAAGAGAAGCAAAACTTCTTGAGACCAAATTTACCTTGTATTCAGTTCCATGTAACCTGCTAGTTAAACCAATATATAAGTTGGTATAAGTTAACAGAGTGGAACTGCAGATCTACTTTTTCTGTAGTTCCAGTCCTGCTTTCTTAGGAAAGCCTTTTCCAGCTACTGCATCACATCAATGTGTTGTCTCTGGATCCTTGTGTACATGATTAACATCCCATAATCTTACTGATTAGTGCTGCAGTTAGATGTCAAACTTCAGCAACTTGTTTGTTAGTTAGGTTTGTGACTAGGGCAACTTACAAGTGACAAAAGTCTCTGAGGTCACATCATAAAGGTATGAGAAGCTTTTCTCACTCAGTGCCTAGGTTAAAATTGTACTAAAAGAATGTTTCTGGTTTATATATATGGCCATTTGGTTTTATAGTCATAATACTGTAGAATAACTATAGAAATTGATGTTTATGGTGATATTATCAATACTGTTATTTTTAAAGTAACTTTGAAAGAGGCAGAGAAATATGTAGTAGACTTTAAACTTTTTCTTTGAAATTGTTTTTTTTAAGTGGTAATTTAAGAAGTTGCAATTAGTTGGAAAACTTCTTATGTAGAAAATTGGATGCAGAATGAACTCAAGGCCAGTCTCTGCCACAGAATGAGAGACCTGTCTCAAAAACAAGCCAAACAAACAAAAAAGGAGAGAGAAAAGAATGAAGCATTATTATATTCTTATTAGGGATAGTGATAGATGTATTGTGTTAAGCAGATTGTTGGTAAACATGAAGACAAACACATTAAAACTTTTCTCCCACCAAATTCATGCCTAATATGTTTGTTAAATTCAGAGTGGAGATTTAGTAGATGCTGACCAAAATGCAGAATGCAGTGAGATTAATGTGGGAAAGCCTAAAAGTAACTCTTGACCCTGGTGCTAGCCTGTGAATTATCCTCACAAAGAGGATTGGCAACATGTCTTAATTTGATAAGATAGGAGTTCCTTGTGATTACCTCAGCGTATTCCTAGATGAACATTATTGTCCAAAATTTAATTATTAACCAGCTTTATCTGTTTTAGTTTCTAATAAATTGCCTTTGCTACTGATAAATAATAGCCTTTTGAATTGGACTCTTCAAAACGAAAAGAAAACTTCAGTTTCCTTTTACTTTCTATCTTAGTTGTTTCACAGTATGTGATTATATTATCCTTTGCTTTCCTAAGAGATGCACAATCATTGGACTAAATTAAAATTTCTTTCTTATAAACTGGAGTCACTAGTGAACACATTTGATTCAGTCTTTCTGAAATCAGATTGCGATTTCTTGTAATCTTGCACAATAAAGCTGGGAACAGAGCAATCCAGGGCGAAGGTTGGTCGACAGCCCTTAGGACAGCAAAAATGAAGCACAGCTGCTCTTCCGTGCACATGTTCTTGACGTAACCCTGGGAGACAATATCAAACACAACCTCTCCCTTTACTAGATTGCTTAGTAAGTGCCTGGGGAATTGCCTTGCCAATAATGAGTTTGCATAGAGAAATTCTACTTTAAAGTATTATTGAGGCAAGGTTTTACTGTTATTTTAATCACTGTCAGTTTTACTGAGGCCCTTCCTGGCAGCAAATCTTTAGTTCTGAGCTGTGGTGAGCTCAGCTCTTACCCGGTGCTGTGTGGTTCACCAGAAATCCATGGAAGGGAAAGAGAAGAAAATCATCGATGACCTTAATGGTCATTTTTCCACATGTTCACATTTTTTTCATGTTTCACAATTTTTGTTTATTAAGCCTTTTTCCTCTGCTTTTGATTTTTATTTGCAAAAAACATGTCAAGATCTGCTTTTACTGTATAAGATCCTATTCAACCAATCACAGTATAAATAAACTACTTTACATGTTTTTCATCTTCATACAGTGCCATCGAGCCTCTGTACCTTACCTATGGAATCGTGTTTGCCTGCGGCTGCTCCTTTGCATACCAGCCTTCCTTGGTCATTTTGGGACACTATTTCAAGAAGCGCCTTGGACTGGTGAATGGCATCGTCACTGCTGGCAGCAGTGTTTTCACAATTTTGCTGCCTTTGCTTTTAGAGTTTCTGACTAGTACTGTGCGTCTCTCCTACACACTGAGAGTCCTCTGCATCTTCATGTTTGTTCTATTTCTGGCTGGCTTTACTTACCGACCTCTTGTTTCCAGTGCCAAAGATAAAGACAGTGAAAGCAGCAGATTCTCCTTCTTTTCCAGGAGAAAGTTCAGTCCTACAAAAAAGTTTTTCAATTTTGCCATCTTCAAGGTGACTGCTTATGCAGTGTGGACAGCTGGAATACCACTGGCTCTTTTTGGGTACTTTGTGCCCTATGTTCACTTGGTGAGTATGCGTCTTTGGCACTGCTGATAATAAATACCACCATGTCATAGAGGGAGATTTAGAAGAGCAAGACAAATCAGGTTAAAATTGGCTTCAAATAGTATCTTGTTTGTAATCCCAGGACTTTTGAAATTAAAAGTCTTTCAAGACAAGAACAAGTTCATCTATCAGATCATTAAACAGAAAATCCATTTCATGGTGTGCTTCAGTATTAAAAAAAATTCCAGGGGCTGGAGAAATGGCTCAGCAATTAAGAGCACTGATTACTCTTGCAGAGGACCCGGGTTCGATTCCCAACATCCACATGGCAGCTATGAACCATCCTTGACTCCAGTTCCAGGGGAATCCGAAGCCCTCTTCTGACCTCCACGGCATTGCATGACATGGTACACTCACATACATGCAGGCAATACCCTCATACGCATTGAAAAAAAAAAAAAAAGAAATTCCAAACATAATTTAAAAAAGGAAGACTAAAATCTTGGAACAATTACATCAAAATGAGATATTTGAGGCTCATGAGATGGCTCAGCAGGTAAAGGTGCTTGCTGCTAAACCTTACAAACCAGAGTTCGATCCCTGGGACCCACATAACGGAAAGAGAAAACCAACTCCTGCAAGTTGTCCTCTGACCTCCACATACACACTGTGGCAAGTGCATACTCCCTTACTGCCCTCCCCAATAAATAGATAATATATATTTTTTTAAACTTCAAAAAATTTTATTATTTTTATTTTATGTGTATGTGTGTATTGCCTGCATGTAAATAAGTGCACCTGTGTTGTGCAATGCCCGGAGGTCAGAAGTTGGATCCCCTGGGACTGGAGTTACAGATGGTTGTTAGCTACATGTGGGTGCTGGGATTCAAACCCAGGTCTTCTGCAAGAACAACCACTGTGCAACTATACCACTGAGCCATCTCTCCAGCCCCAGATAATATAATTTATTATTATTTTTAATTTTTTTATTTTATGTGTATGAGTGTATCGCCATCCATGTATGTGGGTGCACCCGTGTTGTGCAATGCCACAGAGGTCAGAAGAGGGCTTCAGATTCCCCTGGAACTGGAGTTAAGAACAGTTCATACCTGCCATGTGGGTGCTGGGAATTGAACCCGGGTCCTCTGCAAGAGCAGTCAGTGCTCTTAACTGCTGAGCCATCTCTCTAGCCCCATAATTTTTAAAGATATTTTGATAGGTCACTTTTTCTAGAAGTGTCTTACTAATCTTGCTCAGGGATAAAGCCAGTGACTTTGCTAACACTGATAAATTATTTTTCAACAAATGAGAACAAAAATTAAGTGGGTAACAAAATAAAAGCCAGTCAGTGGCTTTGACATAAAGAAACATCTATTTGTGGGATATTTCTCGGAAACAGGAATTCTATTCAGAGGAGTATTTGAGGAACAATAAGCAAGTTCTAAATGAGGAAGAAGTGTAAGGTTCCCTGAAAATTTTGAATTTCAAGTGCTCAGGCAGTATACATTGTTTACTTCAATTTCAAAGGCAAAATTCAGCCTGTATATACTGAGACAAGAATAAGCAAAATGTTCACCCGTGGCAGCACGTGCTCAAAGATGCTCACCATGTTTCTTTTTTACTGTCTATAGTGGAAAATATAGTTCAACTTAAATGGCAAACAAAAATGGCAATAGCTTCAAATTTTCTTTTGTATATTAATTATGTCACTTTTTAAGCTTATAGTCTACTTTTGGATAGTTGCACAATTTTTTTTTTAGTTAAGAGTTTTGGTGAAAGTAACATAGCTCAGAGGGTTGGTTAGTTAATAACTGTATCGTCAACCTTTGTGGGTTCGTGTGCTCAGTTCAGAAAATAATTGAGCTAAGGAAACATGAAGAGAAATGGTAGGCGTGTCTTGAATCTGAGAATAAGTTTGATTTCTCAATTCTCCTTATTATCCTTACCGGGAAAGTTGAAAAGGCAACTCCATTGGCAAATAGGAAGCCATGGGAAGGACTAGTCAGTACCTCGAGCAAAACATTCATACACATACAAATAAATAAATAAATTTAAAAGGAGAATTAGAGAAAATACACACTATAGCATCTACTCCAGTTCTGATATAAGAATGGAAGTTTGGAATACTTAAGACAAAGAAAGCTAGGTGTGTTATATGCCTTTAAGGCAAGAGGATCACCATGAATTCAGATAATCTCATATAGTCTCAAAACACAAAACAAAAATTTGTGACAATTTAAGACTGGCAAGGTGGCTAAGAAGGTAAAGCTGTTTGCTGCCAAGCATAATGACCTGAGTTCAATCACCAGAACCTATGTGGTGGGAGGAGAGAGCTGACTCCCTCCCAAGGTTTGTCATGTGACTACACAGATGCTGTGGCACATGTGCCCCTCCCCTCCATTAATAAATGTGAAATAAATGAATACATTTGCTTAGAAAAATTATGACAATGTAACTGTCAGTTGAGTAGTTTTAAGGGGAGGTATAGATGATTCACAGGAGGGGCTGGAGAAATGGCACAGTGGGTCAAGAATGCACTTGCTACTTCACACACACAGTTTCTTTTTTAAATATTAAAAAGTTCCACAGAAGAAAGATGATTTTTGTTTGTCAAAGGATTAGAAGAAGCATTGGAGTGCAGCCTTGAACATGAAGCTCTATGTTAAAACTGAATCTTTGAACAAGTAATGAATTTTTCAATTTGGTTTTCTTTGAAGCATCAAAAGGATAATGAAGCATTCTCATGGCCCTATTAATTTTAAGATCTAATTACACTATTGCTGAGTTGAATGAGAATGTATATACTTGTTATCAAAGCAAGGTTGGAATGGTTTTTTGTTTTGTTTTGTTTCTTTCAATTGACTTTGTGGGAGGGGAGGGTGAGACAGGCCTCATGTAACCTAGGCTGGCCTCAAACTTGCAATGTAGCCAAGGAAGACCTTAACTTCTGATCCTGCTGCCTCTACCTCTCAAGTGCAAGGATTACAGATATGTACCACCATAACTGGTTTGCAATTGACTTTTTTAAAGGAAGAATCAGGATTGGAGAGATGACTCAGCAGTTAAGAGCTCTTTCTGTTCTTTGAGAGGACCTGAGTTCACTTTCTAGCACTCGTGTCAGGTAGTTCACAATCCACCTGTAATTCCTGCTCTGATGTCCTCTTCTGGTCTCTGCAGGCATCCACACATATGGCATACATTCACACAAAACAAACATTTTTTTTTTAAGGAAGAAACCAATGGCCTCTCTCTTCTCTTAGGTCTATTCACATTACCTTGTTATAGGTGCCTGAGTCTCATGAATCAGTTTAGGTAAGGAGCTCTGTCTAGGCAACTGTTCCTAGTAGCTGCTGCTTCAGTTTTTGTTGATTGCCTCCTTTGGTTGAGAGCTGTTTTCTTTTGTTTTCTGGGTTAACTTCATATGGCTCTTCCTTACCCTTCACTAACTTCCATGAGCTACCTTCCTAATAGCCCCATCATCCCATCATTCCATCTCAAAGTTTCTTTGCTGAGCTCCTTCTCTTCACTCCATCCCTAAATGTTTGCATGCCCCTAGTCTTATTCCTCTGTCTTTTTGATCTGTGTCCACTGAAGCTTTCATCCAGTCTCCCAAGTTCAAACATGATATATGTGGCAGGCCTCCTTCCTGAGTTTTTCACCAGTGTTGTATATCTGTTTATTTAAATGTCTCCATTTGCATGCCTGCTGGTTGTTTTAGTCAGAGCATGTAGATCCTTAAAAGTCCCAATCTTACTTCTCAAACTTGCTCTGCCCCTAGCTCACCTAATCTCAGGAGATAGCAATTCCATCCTTCCAGAGGGTCAGGCCCAAACTTCGGGGTAATCCTTAGCTCCTTTTTCTCACACATCATATTCCTGATCCAGTCCAGAAATTCTGGTAGCTGTTCTTTCATAGTATATCTAGAATGTGACTACTTACTGTCATCAGTACCAACACTCTAGCCCAGATCACCTGCATGTGGAGGTCAGAACAACTTGCATGAGTCAGTTCTTTCCTTCCATCATGTGGGTTCTGGGCACTGCACTCAGGCTGCCACGCTTGGCTGCTGGCACCCTTATCCTTGGAGCCATCGCGCCTGCCCTGTAATTCCATCAATGTTTTCACCTAGTTGTTGAGGTGAGATATAATATTCAGATTGTCCTTGTATTCTATTTTTTTAATGTTCAGTCTGTTGCATATGGCCTGAAATGTTAATTCCTTTGACATAGTTACCAAGTTGAATTTGTATAAGGCAATAAACTACTACTCATTCTATTTTCGTTTTGTAGGTACTGGATTACGGTTGTGTACTGAAGTTAGCATGGCTGTGATTTTCATAATACAATGCTAGTGGAAGCTTTGAGAATGGATCTCAGAGGTCTTATAGAATTGTGTGCTTTCAATGTACATGAAGGCAACAGTTGTAGGAGTAACTTTCTTGCTCACTGTATATACCTTGGAAGGCTCTTGTTAATGTGTTATACTTCATACCCTCTACAGTTTACTTTAGAGGGAATTTACAAGAAGTTAGTTTCTGGTCAAGTGGTTTTTAGACTTAAATTAGGTTTAAATTAGTGATTTGTTCTGAAGTTCTTTTAGCATTTGGCCTCAAAGGGACAGTATTAGTATGCCTAAAATTTATTTACTTAGTTTTCTCTTTTTGTTTGTTGATATGCAACTTTAAAAGGAAAAAAAAAATCTTACATCCTTAGAGTGGTTTGCAAGGTCCCCGTGATTTATTCCTGCCTCTGGATCTCTCCTAACCTCTTCTCTTGCTTACTCAACTCCTACCATCGACCTCTGTTTTACTTAGATTTGTAGACGTCAATAAACTACCACTAATTCTATTTTTTTTTAATTTTTTTGGTTTTTTTGAAGCAGGGTCTCCCTGTAGCCCCAGCTCTCCTAGAATTCACTATGTAGACCAGGCTGGCCTTGAACTCACAGAGATCCACCTGCCTCTGCCTCCTGAGTGCTGGACTACAGGTGTGTGCCACCATGCCTGACTAATTCTGTTTTAA